GCTACGAGGAGAGACTACGGGAATTAAACCTCACTTCGCTGGAAGACAGAAGAGTTAGGGGGGACATGATCACCACATTCAAGATTCTGAAGGGAATTGATAGGGTAGATAAAGACAGTCTATTTAACACAAGGGGAACACGCACAAGGGGACACAGGTGGAAACTGAGTGCCCAAATGAGCCACAGAGATATTAGAAAGAACTTTTTTAGTGTCAGAGTGGTTGACAAATGGAATGCATTAGGAAGTGATGTGGTGGAGGCTGACTCCATACACAGTTTCAAGTGTAGATATGATAGAGCCCGATAGGTTCAGGAACCTGTACACCTGTTGATTGACGGTTGAGAGGCGGGACCAAAGAGCCAGAGCTCAACCCCCGCAAGCACAACTAGGTGAGTACAACTAGGTGAGTACACACACACACACACACACACACACACACATATATATAGTACATATATATTCCCCCCTCATCTGTCCGTACCTCGTCTCTTCAATTTGTCTATCAATTTACCCATTCATACTTCAGTCCACTCGTCAATCCACTCATGCATCCGTTAATCCACGCATGCATCCATCTGTCCACCAATCTAACCAGCAGCCCATCCACCAATTTAACCCATTCATCCGTCAATCTATTCTCTTTTTCTTGTTTACGATCAAATACCTCAACGATTCTCACCAAACAGGTGTTGGTTGGTGTCACATCTCTCGTTAGTGTCAGTTAACGAAGTTGTTAACGGACTGATTCGTGTCTCATGTTTATATGAGACATATATATTGTATATGAGGCACATATATTATATGTAAGACATATATTTTATATGAGACACATATATAGAGGAGCATAATCCTACTTTTTATGAGTCAAACTACCATTTTCATCTACTTTTCCTTGCGCTGTATTCATCTTTTATTCTCCAATTATGACCAGAAATGCTTGGAATTTGGTTCAGCTCACTCGCTGTATGTAATATATGACCTACCAATCACGTGTGTTGATTCCTAGCATAGCATTTGAAGGCCACGCCCCCCAATTCATGCTGCCTACCAATCACATGCCAGGATACAAAACATAATTTCATAGATTCTGTTTTGTTGTAGATTGGCCAGTAGTTACGTGTAGTGGCGCTATTGTCTCGTTGCTCATCTTAACTCATCAATCTAGACGCACATATTGATGTGTGCATTAATTTGCTCACTTATTTATAAGTTTTCCATCTGCCTCTATGCCTGTCGATTTTTTTTTTCCTTCTCTCTCTCACTACACTCCCTCCCTCCCCCGGTCACTAGACCAGCCATGACACCACCCTAGGGGTCAAATTAGTGCCTATTCAATCGTTATTTGGGGGCCTCTCCCCCCCCCTGACTTCCTGAACTCTCCCGGGGACATCAATAAATGTTTTCTATGGGTGATCTGGGGATGTAAGGGTCCTGCCACAGTGCTTATGGGATATTTATGTGACAGAACCAGTTCTTTTTTAACTATTTCTCAAAGTTAATGTCTCTCTCTCTCTCTCTCTCTCTCTCTCTCTCTCTCTCTCTCTCTCTCTCTCTCTCTCTCTCTCTCTCTCTCTCTCTCTCTCTCTCTCTCTCTCTCTCTCTCAATGCAAATTGGAATTGTAAATCATTGAAGACTTTAATAACCTAAAATCCAATTGGTATCTTAAGTTAATGATTCATTATGTTCTGCATTTAATCCACTGATTGTATGTTCATAAGTGATATAATATGCATATTTCAATCCCCTCTTCACTCTCCCATTGTCACCAGGAATACATTCCGGCGGTGATAAACACGATCTAGGGTTGCTAAACATCTCCTGTATTAAGAGTTCTGTATACACTACAGGTCGGTTATACACTGGCGCATAGGAATAGCCGAAGGTTAACCTGTACACTGCGCAATGTTAGAGATCCTAAGATACTAAGGGTACCATTGTTGCCTTTTATTGGGGGTTAATGATTTTTTTAAGCCATAGACTCAATTGCAACATACGAGGGGAAACATTTTTTTATCGTGGCACCTCGAAATATATTAAAACATTTTTTGTAAAGATTAAGTTTTCAAATCAATCTAGATTTGCGGAATATATTTAGTGTTGTGTTCTTCTGGTAGGAGCCCGAGTCTTAGGCTACAACGTAATGGTAATAATTATTATTTATTTACATCAAATACATAGAAACAGATTACAATGGTTACTTAGTAGGTAACGTATTTGTATAAATGTAACAAATGAAGTCACTAAGTCACGTTTCGGACATAAGGTAATGAGTGTATAGAGATTGACATGATCCGGGGGGATTGGTTCTGGCTTAGAGAGTAAAGCCAGTGAGTGGAGGGACTTCCTGCTCTCTCTCTGTCCCTCCCCGCTCTGTCGCTAAGCCAGTGGAGCAGAACAATGACAATAACCAAGACACAAACACGTATAAATCAATAAAGAGTCTCATCCGCCCGCTTTATCAGTTGTACGCTTCCCGATCTTCTCTCTTGACTCACGGTGTTGCCATTTAATATAAACAAAGGCCCTTGCTTTAAAATCTAGCTAATAATTCATTTCATAATTTTATTTTACATGAGATAAGATTAACAAATGTATATGTTATTATTTATATTGTATTTACAACCTCAGAGGAATGTATATTACTGTTTTATTTGATTTTTGGCATTAGCATCAAACGTGGTATCTGGCAACTGTCTCTCAGCGCGCCAAATCAACTGGCGGAGGCGTCCGGCCAACCAGTCAGGGATACGCTCGATAAACCCCACACAAGAGGCTGCTAATGGCCCTAATTGGCTTGGATGACCAGGATAAGAGTGGCACAATTGGCTCTCCTCGTAGGGGAACACGAGGGGGAAACAAGGGGAGACGACCGGAATGGAAATATATATGAGAGGCGAAGGGGGGGGGGGGTGGAAATCAGTGTTACCAGTTAATAAATTTAGTGTAGGGAGGGGTGAGCTGTACCATCCCTCCCTCTTCCTGGGATCATGATTAATAATGGGGGGTACTGTGTGATCACTATACCCCCAGCTTGGATTTGATTATGAGATTGATGGCAATGTAAATACCACTTGATCTCCTGTACCCCATCTTGTTTTTTTTTTTTTTTGAGATATTTGAGATATATACAAGAGTTGTTACATTCTTGTAGAGCCACTAGTACGCGTAGCGTTTCGGGCAAGTCCTTAATCCTATGGTCCCTGGAATACGATCCCCTGCCGCGAAGAATCGTTTTTTCATCCAAGTACACATTTTACTGTTGCGTTAAACAGAGGCTACAGTTAAGGAATTGCGCCCAGTAAATCCTCCCCGGCCAGGATACGAACCCACGACATAGCGCTCGCGGAACGCCAGGCGAGTGTCTTACCACTACACCACGGAGACTGTGAACCAGAATGTTCTTCATTCTCTCTCTACAGCTGTCACCGGAGGAGCATCAGCTTAATATTTAAGATATGTTTGGTGGAGTCATCAAGCCCTGCTCACTATATGTTACTGATTATGACAGAAAGCGTGAGATCAATGATTCTAGCACGAGTCTTCTCTATATCTTCCACTTTCCTGATTCTTCAAGAAAAAAATGGACAGTTTCCTGCAAGAATTGCTGGACCAACTGGGCTAAAGTAGATATGTGGGCCTGCGGGCCGCTCCATGCCTGTTGGACCAAGCTAACAAGTCAAGCCTGGACCCTGGCCGGGTTTAGGTAGGCTTTGCCAGGTGAGTCCGTAGTGGACTTACCTGGCACAGGAGCGGGGCAAGTAGCACGGGCTATGGTGAGCCCGTAGTGGACTTACCTGGCAAAGGAGCGGTGCTGAGTCTGTCTTTGGGAGTGTTGGATCCATCAGTCTCCAAGCTTGGATATAGCAGTCCAAGTGAGGGCGCACCTGAAATTTATATAGTTTAATAATTACTTTCTTTTCCCTGAAGTCAAAGGCTCGTCAAAGGTCAAATGTGACACATACAAGAAGCAATTAGAGTTTCAAGCTCAACAAGTTACAGTGTAGGAACAAACAGGAGATGCTTTTTCACCCACGTAAATCTATGGTAATTACGGCAGCCATAACTACCCCATCGCGGCTGATATGGCCTAAATTCCAACACACAAAACAAACTCCTCTTGTTTCACTAATATGATCTCGATTGATAATCAAAAGTCTTTGTTATCAGCATAAAATTATTTTATCTTGTAATCCCGTTTCCTATCCGGATTCTATGTGGATTTTGAGCTGAAGTAATGTTTTTTTTTGCACTTTTGACTCTAGCGGAAGGCGTAAGTTCAAATAAACTTCATTTCAGCTCAAAATCCAGATAGAAAAAATCCTCAGGAACGATGGAATACTTGTGACAAGCCTCCAGCTTTCTGTCCCCGTCCAGGCCACTAGAGATAGGGAACTCTTAGCTAAATTCAGCTCAAATTTAATATTTCCTAATGTTTACGTAGAGGTAAATAGGTACCAAGGAGTTAGTCAGCATGTTATGGGGGTTGGATCCTTGGGAGAATCAGTAGTTCGACTTTGAAGAGGACTTTGATATTAACCTAATATTTGTATATATACACTGGCTGCCTGTCCCCAGAATCAATTAGTTATTTTTATTGAGTATATAGGTGTTGCGCAATTTTGTTATTGTCACCCCTATTTAAAGAAACGTTTTCTATAATTTTCCTCTGATAGAAAACAAATTTTATGGTAAACTTATCTAATAATATATTACAGCTTTCGTAGCCACCGTTTCTACTTTGTTTTCCCACAAGTCGTCTTCAAGATCGTTACGGTTGTATACCAAACAACCGTAACTCATGGAGAAGTAAGGCAGTCAGCAGCAAGTCCCAAGTATCTATTTACTGCAAGGTGAACAGCTGCATCAGATAAAAGGAATCGTGCACTGACTGTCACCATCTGGCCGGGACTCGAAACTGTTGAGAGAGGTTGAGTCTCACGTTAAGACAATGGGTCATCGCTGGTCAGAGCAGCGTAAAGGGTGAATAACATACAAAGGCAATTACCTAATACTCTTTTATTTAATAAAAAAAAAACCTTCTCTTCAGGAGTACATAATTCTTCAACCTTTTCACCATTCTTTAATGTGATGAGTATTTAATATAAGTGTATTTAAAGAGACTGAAGAATGTTGACCAGACCACACATTAGAAGGTGAAGGGACGACGACGTTTTGGTCCGTCCTGGACCATTCTCAAGTCGATTGTGACTTGAGAATGGTCCAGGACGGACCGAAACGTCGTCGTCCCTTCACCTTCTAGTGTGTGGTCTGGTCAACATGTATTTAAAGAGAGTTTACATTACTTCTGGACCATATTCAGAGACCAAAGTAGTCTTGCTGCTTGGTCAGTAAACTTATTTACACTGACCTTAAATTACACGACCATTAAAGGCTTGGACGGCCCACCACCACATATATTGTAAACTACAAAAGGGTATTTATATTGGGTGTTTAATTCTGACAACGCAGGTTTTGGAGTAAAGGTAACGCGATCAATGTTTAATTACTGTGTGATAGGATGAAGGCAGGTGTTTACCTAGATGAAAGACATGTGTGTGTGGTAAATATGTGAGTGTTACAAGCACTCGCAGATGTTCATTGAGGCAGATATGAGTATCAAAACAGGTACTGAGACAGTACACACCTGACATGTGTGTGCCCCGAGGCACACGCTAAGGAAAATAATAGGGGAATAATCTCGACAGGTGTTGGTTGAGCAACAACTGCTGAAAGAACCATAAATGAACCAGTCTAGCAGGTGTTTAATGAGTCACAACTAACCCTCCACTCAGGTGTTGAATGAGCCACAACCATCCATCCACTCAGGTGTTGAATGATCCACAACCATCCAGCCACTCAGGTGTTGAATGATCCACAACCATCCATCCACTCAGGTGTTGAATGATCCACAACCATCCATCCACTCAGGTGTTGAATGATCCACAATTAACCATCCACTCAGGTGTTGAATGATCCACAACCATCCATACACTCAGGTGTTGAATGATCCACAACCAACCATCCACTCAGGTGTTGAATGATCCACAACCAACCATCCACTCAGGTGTTGAATGATCCACAACCAACCATCCACTCAGGTGTTGAATGATCCACAACCAACCATCCACTCAGGTGTTGAATGATCCACAACCATCCATCCACTCAGGTGTTGAATGATCCACAACCAACCATCCACTCAGGTGTTGAATGATCCACAACCATCCATCCACTCAGGTGTTGAATGATCCACAACCATCCATCCACTCAGGTGTTGAATGATCCACAACAAACCATCCACTCAGGTGTTGAATGATCCACAACCAACCATCCACTCAGGTGTTGAATGATCCACAACCATCCATCCACTCAGGTGTTGAATGATCCACAACCATCCATCCACTCAGGTGTTGAATGATCCACAACCAACCATCCACTCAGGTGTTGAATGATCCACAACCATCCATCCACTCAGGTGTTGAATGATCCACAACCAACCATCCACTCCGGTTCTATGAGTTACACTCTGTGCCACACTAACATTCACTCTGGGAGTGGCATCCGGCTGTGCGAGAACCTCATGAAAGGTCCCTAATCCCATCAAAATGGAACCGAAGAGTTTCATGAAAGATTCCGCTAACCGAACCAACACCAAACCATTTTAGGGAATGATACAGGAACCCGACAAGAATTGAATAGCTTTAAGAACACGAGTCTGTCAATGCTCAACGAGGAAATTCGTACGTGAGAGAACCAGACAAGAGAGAGAGAGAGTTGAGGAGAGCCACAGGTGTGAGCATTTTGCGTGAGGTATAAGTCAACTTCTTCGACATGTTGATACCTGAACACCATGGGCCGTGGTTCTCAGGAAATGACTTCTGACAACCCACGAAGATCTTGGAGCTCCTTGAGATGATTGTTATCAGTAAATGACCACCATCTCGAGCCCCTGACTTGAGGGATTGTGAGGAAAGTGTTTCCTGATTTGGCAATATTTTGAGTGCTACGTTGACGATTCTTTTCACCTCCTCTTCCCACCTTTCTGAGATTTTCTGAAGAAAAAAGAAGAAAATTCAAATAGTTTAACATATGATATACTCTTTTGCATGTAATATATATAATCAACTAATATTGCAGACACAAACAATAAATACAAAAAAATATGATCCATTTTTGTCACAGGTACATGTTTATATCAAATGTTTACCAATGTATCGTCATCAATTATCAGGAGGAACATTATACACAGCAACTGTTGATCTATGGAACACATTACCAATAACTTAACAGACATGGAGTCGATAGATTTTTCAACGGCAGATTAGACATATATATATATATATGAATGAGCTTGGGTTGGACATCAATAAGAGCTGCCTCATATGCTCCAATTACTTTCTCCAGTTCCGTTAATTACGTGATCTTTCACCCTTAAAAACATCAGTCTGTAGTGCCCGACTATTGAGTTAATGGAAGAGCCCACCTACTTGCACTCCAGCACGGCTTGGGCTGTGTTGTACTGCTGGAAGGAGAGGGCCATCGTGCCGGAAAAGAGGAGCTTGGCGGCGCCCCTACAAGTCTGCTGTACCCCGCGGGCCATCGTCCGGTCGTCGCAGACGGAATACAAGCAGTTCTTCAGCTTGGAGTCGCAATCCCGCTTATTCGCTCTGCAGGAGGCCCGGTAGCAGATGTCGTGGGTGCCGCAGCACTCCGTCAGACGGGTCACCGGTAAGGTCTCGTCTCTTATATGGAGACCTAAGGCGCCACACCCGCTGAAGCTTGGGATTGAGGTGTCAGCAGGCGCCGGAGCACTATCTTCCTGGGCCTTAAAAGGAGACATTGTTGTCATTATACAAAGAAAACGATGCCTATAATAGGCCAGACTATGATATTAGATCAGTAAAAGCAATGTTCACATGCGTGATTTAAAAAAAAGCAATGCAGATATAAATTCTTTCAAAATTTATGAACAAATGGATTATATCCTACGAAATGTATTATGTGAGGATTTGACATGAAGAAAACATAAAGCATTGTATGATACAATCGTTGTATGATATGATTATTGTATGACGAATCATTATATAACACGATCGTTGTACGACATGATAGCTGTGTGATATAGTCAGTATATAAATAATCATTATATAACGTGACCATTGTAAGACATGCGTCAGCGCATGAAACGAACCAACATAACATATTATTATTAATCCCTTTTTCATTATTCCCTCACTATTAATCCCTCATTATTAATCCCTCATATTAATCCCTCATTAATTAAACACTTGTGAATCATCCGACATCCTCACTTGTCTGCCAGCAGATACTCTCACACTCTCTCTCTCTCTCTCTCTCTCTCTCTCTCTCTCTCTCTCTCTCTCTCTCTCTCTCTCTCTCTCTCTCTCTCTCTCTCTCTCTCTCTCTCTCTCTCTCTCTCTCTCTCTCTCTCTCTCTCTCTCTCTCTCTCTCTCTCTCTCTCTCTCTCTCTCTCTCTCTCTCTCTCTCTCTCTCTCTCTCTCTCTCTTTAGTTCTTTCGTCCCATGTACCTAACTCACTAGTCCCTCTTTCTTGCTTCTTCATTCCTCTCCTTCTACATTCCTTCATATCCCTCCCTCTTCTTCCATACTATCTCATTCCACTTCCTCAACAGTCAAGGCCGTCCATCGTATTCCATGAGATTAGGGCATCCTTGAAGCAACGTAAACAGGTCAACGTCTTGTTTGTCAAAGGCTCACAGTATGTAAATACAGGTCCCCTGGGGACGGAATATCAACCCAGAGGGTCCTAGTGAGTTTCTCAAGTCTTGTGAGCAGCTCAAATGTCTTGTGAGGGGCTCAAACGTCTTGTGAGGGGCTCAAACGTCTTGTGAGGAGCTTAAAAGTCTTGTGAGGAGCTTAAACGTCTTGTGAGGAGCTTAAAAGTCTTGTGAGGAGCTTAAACGTCTTGTGAGGAGCTTAAAAGTCTTGTGAGGAGCTCAAACGTCTTGTGAGGGGCTCAAATGTCTTGTGAGGGGCTCAAACGTCTTGTGAGGAGCTTAAAAGTCTTGTGAGGAGCTTAAACGTCTTGTGGGGGCTCAAACGTCTTGTGAGAAGCTCGAACGTCTTGTGAGGAGCTCAAAAGTCTTGTGAGGAGCTCAAAAGTCTTGTGAGGAGCTCAAAGCTCACCATAATGTCATCTGCAAGAATGTTATCTACGCGATATGTAGTAAATTACAAAATATTTAGTTTATCTTATAAACCACATTTTTTTAAACAGAATGGAGATTTTTGTATATATTTAGAAATTAGTGGTAGTAATAGATACAGTAGCTACTGTAGGAGTTGTATAGTAGTAGTATGTAGTATGTAGTATGTGGTATGTAGTATGTAGTTGTTGTTGTTATTGTTTTAGTAATGAGGTAGCTATCAGAAGCAGTAGCAGTTATGCCAAAAGTAGAAGACAAGCTATCTGTTAAAAGAGAAGAAGCTGCTGTTGTAGCAGTAGCAGAGTAGCAGAAGCAGGAGCAGTAGCAGGAGGAGAAGGCCCTTTGTTGCCTCACCTGCTGTGATGGTGAGGTGTTCCCTGCAGTGTTCCCTGGCTCCTCCGTGGCCTTCGCCAGAGACGCCGTCACCTGCGGGGGTGAACAGATGTATTGGTTTAGATGTCTTCTCTCACACACTCTTAACCCTGGCGCATGCGACACAATCGACATGCATGATTCACACACACACGTGAGACATGATCATTGCCTACAAAATTCTCAGAGGAATTCACGGGGTTGATAAGGATAAACTGTTTAACACGTGTGGTACGCGAACAAGGGAACACAGGTGGAAACTGAGTACCCAAATGAGCCACAGGGACGTTAGAAAGAACTTTTTTTCAGTGTCAGAGTAGTTAACAGGTGGAATGCATTAGGCAGTGATGTGGTGGAGGCTGACTCCATACACAGTTTCAAGTGTAGATATGATAGAGCCCAGTAGGCTCAGGAATCTGTACACCAGTTGATTGACGGTTGAGAGGCGGGACCATAGAGCCAGAGCTGAACCCCGGCAAGCACAACTAGACGAGTACAACTAGGAGAGTACACACTCAGACACAAACATCAATACCATCCTGTCTATTGTGCCAACAGCTGCCAAACATCTATTTTTTCCAACTGGTCTCAATAAAATGTTGATTATCTTCGTCTTCAATTATTATATCTACATTAATTAACTGTTTCTCGTGTTATTGTATATATATATATATATATATATATATATATATATATATATATATATATATATATATATATATATATATATATATATATATATATATATATATGCAATTGACGATCACAAAACACTGATCATTTTATGCGGAAATATGAAAATTTCATATTTCTCTGTGGATTTTCCGCATATATATATATATATATATATATATATATATATATATATATATATATATATATATATATATATATATATATATATATATAAAATCAGCACATAATTTGCATAAATTGTGTGTATGCAAAGTAAGAGTCTCAGCTAATTTGTTTCTATATACTGATGATGTATTTTATGTTAAGAAATGTATCATAGGTGTGAAAAAGTGTTACAAATACTTTCAGAAGTGTGTGACTCGCCCTAGTACACATACATGCACAGTTGCAAGTGTACACAGGTGTAAATAAACACATAAACATTGTACGACGCTTGCAACAATCTCAGCGTGTAAATACATCTGGGAAGGGTATCAGATATTGTCTTCTCATACACCAGCATCATCACTCCCAGTGATATCGCTACTAGCATCACAACCACCACCACCGAGCCTTCAATCACAACCACTAGGCCCTCAACCAGCATCACCAGACCCTCAACCAGCACCACCAGGCCCTCAACCACCACCACCACCCCCACAACACCCACCACAACCATCACTCCAGCAGTAATCAACCACAGTGCTGGAAGAATAATACCTGAGCCTCGGCGGAAGCGTCAAGAAAGTGGTCGATGGCCCTGATAGCCTTGGAGACCGCGCCGACTCCGTCAGCGACGTCGTGGAGAATCCGTCCCCCTGAGATGACGGCGTCGTACAGGTTCCAAAACAGCGCGACGTTGTCAGCCATCGTCGACGCCGCCGTCAGCAGCAGGTAAAGCACCGCCCAGGCCCGCATCGCGACGGCGGGCGGGCGGACCCCGAGTATATATAAGCACAAACTAAAATTCGTTCAGTAGGGGGGACTAAACTGACAGGTAGACTGTAAAAAATGATGAATTCCTTCAAATATTGCCTTCTGTCTAGCTGCACTAACACATTTTTCCCACACTTAATGGTTTACTAAAGACGTTATTGATGTATAGAACACTGTTTCCACACTTAATGGTTTACTAAAAGACGTTATTGATGTATAGAACACTGTTTCCACACTTAATGGTTTACTAAAAGACGTTATTGATGTATAGAACACTGTTTCCACACTTAATGGTTTACTAAAAGACGTTATTGATGTATAGAACACTGTTTCCACACTTAATGGTTTACTAAAAGACGTTATTGATGTATAGAACACTGTTTCCACACTTAATGGTTTACTAAAAGACGTTATTGATGTATAGAACACTGTTTCAACACTTAATGGTTTACTAAAAGACGTTATTGATGTATAGAACACTGTTTCCACACTTAATGGTTTACTAAAAGACGTTATTGATGTATAGAACACTGTTTCAACACTTAATGGTTTACTAAAAGACGTTATTGATGTATAGAACACTGTTCCTACACTTAATGGTTTACTAAAAAGACGTTATTGATGTATAAAACACTGTTCCTACACTTAATGGTTTACTAAAGACGTTATTGATGTATAGAACACTGTTCCTACACTTAATGGTTTACTAAAAAGACGTTATTGATGTATAGAACACTGTTTCCACACTTAATGGTTTACTAAAAGACGTTATTGATGTATTAAACACTGTTTCCACACTTAATGGTTTACTAAAGACGTTATTGATGTATAGAACACTGTTCCTACACTTAATGGTTTACTAAAGACGTTATTGATGTATAGAACACTGTTCCTACACTTAATGGTTTACTAAAGACGTTATTGATGTATAGAACACTGTTCCTACACTTAATGGTTTACTAAAAAGACGTTATTGATGTATAGAACACTGTTCTCACACTTAATGGTTTACTAAAAGACGTTATTGATGTATAGAACACTGTTTCCCCACTTAATGGTTTACTAAAAGACGTTATTGATGTATTAAACACTGTTTCCACACTTAATGGCTTACTAAAAAGACGTTATTGATGTATAAAACACTGTTCCTACACTTAATGGTTTACTAAAAGACGTTATTGATGTATAGAACACTGTTTCCACACTTTATGGTTTACTAAAAACGTTATTGATGTATAGAACACTGTTCCCACACTTAATAGTTTACTAAAAGACGTTATTGATGTATAAAACACTGTTTCTACACTTAATGGTTTAGTAAAAGACGTTATTGATGTATAGAACACTGTTTCTACACTTAATGGTTTACTAAAAAGACGTTATTGATGTATGGAGCACTGAACTGAAGAACTTTTTTCCTCTGTAGCGAGCGGCGTCTCCGGAGAGGAGGGTGTGTTGTGAGGGGAAGACACTGGTGTCAGGGGATGAGGGTTACCTGCTGCTTGAATAACGTTGGTGAGCAGACGCTCCCGCTGGGGTAAATGTGGGCACTCCCCACGTCACGCGGGTGCCACCTTACCTATTTGTATCTGGCTCTGCACTGGCACTCTCTCCCTTCACTACCGGGTGTAATTAGTGCCTACTGCTGCTGAGTATAACAGCTTAAAGCTTTAGGAAAGCTTCAGGATAAGCATTATAGGTAGTCAGTAGCATAGAAAAGTGTGTGTTAAGTACACATTGAAGCCTCAGGTAAGGCTCCAGTGCCACAGGGCCACGTATGACTACCAGTGCCAAGTTGGTGGGCCAAAATAAGCTCAGTCATCCTCTCCCTCCCTGTTATGCATTCTACTCCCAGTGAACGACTCGTCTTTCTCAGATGTTGGTGAATGTCAGTTTTGGGGGAAGAGTATAATAATTTATGTTTATATGTGGAGCATGTGTTGTTATGGTGTGAGGGGGGCTGGTGGGGGAGGCTGTCTCTCTCTCTCTCTCTCTCTCTCTCTCTCTCTCTCTCTCTCTCTCTCTCTCTCTCTCTCTCTCTCTCTCTCTCTCTCTCTCTCTCTCTCTCTCTCTCTCTCTCTCTCTCTCTCCTCCACGTCTCTCCAATATCTTCCGGAGACAGGCGGACACAGCGAGGCTCGGCGCCTTTCACCTTCCCGCCAGTTTTGGTTATAAAAGCAAACTCAGTTAGGTATTTTTTGCTTTTCTTCTTGCTAAAGTTTACCTTTATCGAACGCGATATTCCCCCTGTAAATATTGGCTTTTATGCTCTAAACTGTTTACTGCAATAATCGATAAATGTATTCACCTGTCCCCCCTCACCAACCTGCTCCCCCGTCCTCCACAACATCAGAAGCTTCAGACATTGGCATGAGGTCAATGAAACAGGCCCCATAATACCCCCCAGACACAAGCTATTGTGTATACATTTCCACCTCTAAAACATCCCCATTCACAAGGTTTTCACCTCGAGAAGTATGAGTGAGTTGCTGGCAGAGTTCTTTCCTCCCTCAATCTCGCATACCCTTGTATGCATACTTAGCCACGAGGCAAGCATGCTCTCATTCCTTGCACCTCTTGCAACGTTGCATCGTACTGGTGCTCTAAAGTAGCGCTCAAGGGCGGCTTTTTAAGTCGCATTTGCGTCGTCGCGAATCGCTTTTATAGGTAATGGGGTTTGATGTTGAAAGTTGTTCATTTGCCTTAGCTGTGGTATTTCGTTTATTTTGGCTAATATGACTGTGGTGGACACAGGTGAATGAATAGGTGGAAGGGGGTGCATATAGAGCGGAAGATGCGAGACTCTGTTAGTGCAGAATGTCAGCTGCATTTCACTGTCAGCTCAGAACGTCAGCTGCACCTCACTGTCAGCTCAGAACGTCAGCTGCATTTCACTGTCAGCTCAGAACGTCAGCTGCGCTTAACTGTCAACGCGAAACAGTGTCCAAACAAAGCTGATGATGCATTTACCAACGTTGACGGCTCTGTGTACATATGGTCTTTTACAAAGACTGCAACACGGGACTTACAGACCTCCGCATTACTGATAAAACCCGAAATTCCACGAAAATTTGCATTTAAATGATGTCACTGACTGTTTCAAGCTTAGCAGTTACCCTCCTGACTCACGCCTGACTGAGCTCGAGTCCTGATCTGCCCCACACACACACCTGTGCTCGGAGGAGCTCAACAGGACGCAGGGACAACACCAAGGACCCGAGGAAAGGAATTAGGGACAGCGAAGACGGGCTGGAAGATGGGTTTTGGGATGGGTTCTTCCAACATGGATTGGAAATGGAGTAAGATTGGATGCATATGGACGGGGTAGGACGACCCGGCCGGCAAGGTCGATGTATGGAAGAGGTCGGTAACTTGCTAGAAATCTGTGGCACAGTCTATGTACCCGCGAGGGCATACGCGTCCCAATCCATGACCGGATTCAGCGCGCTAAAGAAACATTCCGGAAACGCGACTAGATTCTTGTGTGTGTGTGTGTGTGTGTGTGTGTGTGTGGTGTGTGTGGTGTGTGTGTGTGTGTGTGTGTGTGTGTGTGTGTGTGTACTCACCTAGTTCTCATTTAGTTGTGCTTGCGGGGGTTGAGCTCTGGCTCTTTGGTCCCGCCTCTCAACTGTCAATCAACAGGTGTACAGGTTCCTGAGCCTACTGGGTTCTATCATATCTACACTTGAAACTGTGTATGGAGTCAGCCTCCACCACATCACTTCCTAGTGCATTCCATTTACTAACTACTCTGACACTGAAAAAGTTCTTTCTAATGTCTCTGTGGACATTGTGTGTGTGTGTGTTTACTAGTTGTGTTTTTGCGGGGGTTGAGCTTTGCTCTTTCGGCCCGCCTCTCAACTGTTTACTAACTACTTTTTTTTTAGTTTTTTTGTTTTTTTCCACACCACACGCACACACACCAGGAAACAGCCCGTGACAGCTGACTAACTCCCAGGTACCTATTTACTGCTAGGTAACAGGGGCACTTAGGGTGAAAGAAACTTTGCCCATTTGTTTCTGCCTCGTGCGGGAATCGAACCCGCGCCACAGAATTACGAGTCCTGCGCGCTATCCACCAGGCTACGAGGCCCCTTAAAGGCCCCTTGTGTGTGTGTGTGTGTGTGTGTGTGTGTGTGTGTGTGTGTCTCTACATAACAAGACACAGCTGTGCTGGTTCTCAATAAGCTCACTGGTGGCGTTATTCGCCGGTCACCCACTAACAAATAGGGTCACGTAATGTTGCTCCTTGTGTTTCAGGCGAGGCCATGACTCCTTAAGCACAGCAAGAGGGGGGGGGGCATGGGTGGAGGCGATTGGGCGGGGGTGTGGAGGGGATTCAACGCTGGGTGGGTGTAGGTGATTGGGAGGCGTGTCGAGGTGATTGGGAGATGTAAGTGATGGGGGAAGAAATTGATTGATTGATGAAGATTAAGCCACCCAAGAGGAGACATGGGCATGAATAACCCGTAACACGAAGGGAGAGATGATAACAAAGAGAGAGAATGAGGTGTCTCTTAAATAGCGAGAGAATAACGGATGGATGAGATAAAATAAAAATGGAAGATGGGATACTGAAAACAGAAAGAAAAACTAATACTTCGCCTCTTTTCCTCTTACACGTAAACAGGTTTACAATACAGAGGGCGTCGATCCAATTTACAATGAGTCAGTCCAGTTTACACTACACAGGGAGCCATCCTACAGTACACAGGGGGGTCAGTCGTTCGGTACAGAGAGGCTGTTCAAGCCAGTCCCCCATTGGCTATTCAGAACGTAAGATAGTTAAACAAAGCTGCATATTAATAGCATTGATTGTTCGGTATTACATTGTATCTTAATATTATCTTCCTCAGTTTATCTTAACATCATCGAGCTATATACATTGGCATAAGATTATTTGTCTATTATTAAATTATTAGGATTAGAAACACAGTACCAGAAATAGGGTCTATTTGAAAAAAAATTATTGATATATTTTGATTTAACTATTCTTTAGTCTGGAATAGGCCTACCACTTATGTTGTTACCGCAAGTTGTTACATGATAGGCCTATCGTTGGTGTCATTACTGCAGACTGTTATAGAACAAGTTGTTACATGATAGGCCTATCGTTGGTGTCATTACTGCAGACTGTTATAGAACAAGTTGTTACATGATAGGCCTATCGTTGGTGTCATTACTGCAGACTGTTATAGAACAGGAATATCACTCGGCATTAGTTCGGTTTGTATTTGTCGCTGTGGTAAATTCGTTTATAATTTGAAGAGTGGTTTTGCTTTTTATTGTGACATCCACTCCAGTCATCCACTCCAGTCATCCACTCTAGTCATCCACTCTAGTCATCCACTCTAGTCATCTACCCAGTTCATCTACTCCAGTCATCTACTCCAGTCATCTACTCTAGTCAATCTACTCCAGTCATCCACTCCAGTCATCCACTCCAGTCATCCACTCTAGTCATCCACTCTAGTCATCCACTCTAGTCATCTACTCCAGTCATCTACTCCAGTCATCCACTCCAGTCATCCACTCGCATTATTAACGTCAGTCATCCATTCTTATCATTCACAACAATTTCCGAGGCTTCCACTGAAGCCAAACCTAGGTTTCACACAATTCCTCCCCCCCCCCTTGTCGTTCAGTAATTCTACCAGGTAGAATTACTGAACCCCAGAACCAGAGTGCTGGGGGGGGGGAGGGGAATATTGTGTGAAATCCATTTTCGGCTTCAGTGGAAGCCTCAGAAACCCTAGAGGGGTGCAGTTGTACCCCCAGGTTGCAATTCTTTTAACCATGTCATGGCGTAGTCATGTATCCATCTCAATCCAGTAACCTTCATTTCGGTTGTGTTGTAACCGATTACAACACAACCATACGCCCTCACCCTTGTAATGGTCCCCTTCCTGGTTACATCACAACCATACGCCCTCACCCTTGTAATGGTCCCCTTCCTGGTTACATCACAACCATACGCCCTCACCCTTGTAATGGTCCCCTTCCTGGTTACATCACAACCATACGCCCTCACCCTTGTAATGGTCCCCTTCCTGGTTACAACACAACCATACGCCCTCACCCTTGTAATGGTCCCCTTCCTGGTTACATCACAACCATACGCCCTCACCCTTGTAATGGTCCCCTTCCTGGTTACATCACAACCATGCACCACCGATACATATTAAAGCAGCAGAGAAGGAATGAGGTCAGGAGACCACGCCTGACCAAGGAACAGCTACGTAACGGAACGTTCAGATGCAACACGTTTACGGGCTCGCCATAGCCCGTGCTACTTGGAACTTTTTGTTCTGAGAAGCTGAATCTAAAATATCAACAATGCAATACGTTCAGGAACGCCGTTCTGACGGTCTCAGAAATCAAAAGGAAAGGAAGAACGGAGGGGAACGAGCAACAGAAAACATGTATAATAAAAGGAATTAGATACAGACTGACGAGGGGATAAATACAGAGATATACAGAGTTAATATACAGTCATACAGTTATACAGCTTCAGTCAGGGAATCTTGGATCTGGTGAACACAACGATGGCTGCCTTATAGTCCTATGTTGTTGTTGTTGTTTAAGATTCAGCTGCTGGGAACTTAAAGTTCCAAGTAGCACGGGCTATGGTGAGCCCGTAGCGGACTTACCTGGCACAGGAGCGGGGCTGAAACTTCCGTAGGCCTATGTTCTGATGGGCGACTATATAGCACTAGGAAGGGATCAGGAAAAGGATTTGGGATGAGACGGG